TTGTCCCCCTGCTGTGCTTTAATGGATCATTTGCTAACAACTATCAAATCTTTTTGTTGAGTGAGGAATGCTTCGGTGAAAACAGTGTTGGAAGTCTGGTATCGCTCAAGAAGGTTTTTGACGCATATTATTGACCATCTCTTTCCTTTTCCTACCGTTGGACTCAATTTTACAATGCTCATCATGACAACTGTTGTCCTCACCTTCATTTCACCACTGTTTATGGCAGACTATTTGGCATATTGTCTTCAATCATTTATCTCTCTTAATGCTGAAAAGCATGCACTGTTCACAAGAATTTCAGTTCTCACCATCAGAGGCCGATTAGGTTTGGGGGTGGAGGTGGCAGTGGTAGGACAAGGGGAGCAGGAAGTAATATAATTCCATCAGTAACAATTGATGCAGCTTTTATTTTGATATTCCTGAATTCTGAAGTATGTTGAAGCAAAATTCTAAAACATAGAGGTGCTTTTGGTTTAACAGAGGTCATCAAAGTACTTGGTCAAGCTGAATTTGACTATAACTCTATACCTAACCGTTCCACTAGTCAATGGCCTTTTAATATAGTCTATACAAAGATGCCAAATCACCTTGTCGCATCCTGGAAAATTCACGGTGGTAGAGAAATGTAATAATTCAAAATTTTTTTGAAATAATTTTTAAGATGAAAAATCTGAATTTCAGCATCATGTCTTATTGAAGAAAAGAGATGGAACGAAGAGAAGGTTGTTCAGAGTTTTTTCATCCGTCAAATTTGTTCAGAGATTTCTTCTATTTGTTATGAGTAACTCATAGTTTTCAATAATTATGGACGTTACAAGAAATATGAATTCGAGTGTCGAATTTTGTACGAAGATCCAACACACAAATAGATGAAAGATAGGGGTGTAGCATTCATAAGAGACACTAGAGTTTTTACGTGAAAGCCCTTGAAAAGGGGGAAAACTCACGAGGCCTTGCCCAGTTTAAATAAATCCACTAGTGTTTGCAGTTGATTACAAATGAGGCCCTTCATTGGGAGGAGGGCCTTTGGTCGATGTAGAAAATATACATCATATTACATGGTGGGATTGGAATAAACAGTGCTGACATATTCGTTTGGTCGGCAGGACCTTAGTCGGCGAGCGATGTAGGTCGGAAGGATCATAGCTGGGCGATGGTGGTCGGAAGAACTGTAATCGTGCAACGAAGGTCGGAAAGACCGTAGTCTGGCGACGATGGTTGAAAGGATCATAATTGGTGGGCGACGGAGGTCACAAAAATCGTAGTCGTGCGATGGTGATAAGAAGAATCTTAGTCGGGCAACAAAGGTTGGAAAGACTGTAGTCGGGCGACGGTGGTCGAAAGGACCGTAGTTAGTGTGAGAAGGAGGTCGGAAAGACCATAGTCGGCGGGTGACGAATGTCAGAAAGACTAGGGCTGCAAATGCACAAGCTGAACACGAGCCGAGCTCAAACATGCTCGTTTTAAATGAGCTTGAACTCGAACAACTATCCAAGAAGCTCGATGAGCTTCGAGCCGAGCTTGAGCACGATTTTGACAAATGAGCTCGAAAACACAAACAGGCCGAAGCTCGGCTCGGCTCGGCTCAGTTCATTTGCAGCCCTAAGAAAGATCGTAATCGGACAACGATGGTCTAAATAACCATAATCGGAAGGCGGCGAAGGTTGAAAAGACCATAGTCCTGCAATAATGGTCGGAAGCACCGTAGTCAGATGAAGGTGGTCGGAAAGACTATAGTTTACGGGAAACTGAGGTCGGAAAGACCGTAGTCGGAGACAGTGGTCTGAAGGACCATAGTCGGCACGCGACGGAGGTCGGAAAGATTGTAATCGATGATGGTGGTTAGAAGGACCAAAGTCGACGCGACGGAGGTCAGAGAGACCATAGTCGGGTAATTATGGTTGGAATGACCTTAGTCAGGTGATGATGGTTAGTAGGATTAAAGTCGACACGCGACGGAGGTTAGAGAGACCCTGGTCGGGTGACGATGGTTGAAATGATCGTAGTTAGACGACAGTAGTCAGGGAGACCGTAGTCTGGAGACAGTGGTCGGAGAGACCTTAGTCGGCTGGTGATGGAGGTCAAAAAGACTATAGTCGGGCAATGGTTGTTGGAGAGACCGTAGTCGGTAGGTGACGAAGGTCGAAAAGACTGTAGTCGAGCGACGATGGTCGGAAGGGCTATAGTCGGGCGACGGCAGTCGGAAGGACCGTTGTTGGCAAGCGACGCTGGTGTCCAAGTAGAAGTCCGGTGACGAGTGGTGGTCGAGCAAAAATCCGGTGACGGTCTGTAGCTGAGCAGTGGTCGAGGAGCTCGATTGAAAGTGATATATCAGATTTTTCTTCCTTTCATCTCTTATTTTCTCCTTGCTTTGTCCCCCCTTCAGTAAAGAATGAGGGGTTTATATATAATTTTCTAGGAGTGGCATGACCAGTAAATAGAGAGAAGATCAAGGGCATGTTGGAAGTGTTTCGAATAGACGGTCGATATTGTCTCCTTTGATCATGGACCGTTTATCGAACATTTAAGTGCCTTAATGATGCCAAAATTCGGGGATCTTGGGCTCGTTGGAGACGGTGGTCTAATGGACCGTAGTCGGCACGCGACGGAGGTCAGAAAGATTGTAGCTGATGATGGTGGTTAAAAGGACCAAAGTCGACGCGGCGGAGGTTAGAGAAACCATAGTCGGACGACTGTGGTTGGAATGACCTTAGTCAGGTGATGATGGTTAGAAGGACTAAAATCGACGCGCGATGGAGGTTAGAGAGAACCTAGTCTGGTTACAATGGTTGGAAGGATCGTAGTTAGATGATAGTAGTCAGGGAGACCGTAGTCTGGAGATGGTGGTCGGAGAGACCGTAGTCGGCTAGTGATAGAGGTCGAAAAGACTATAGTTGGGCAACGATAGACCATAGTCGGCAGTTGACGGAAGTCGAAAAGACTGTAGTTGGGCGACGGTGGTCGGAAGGGCTATAGTCAGGCGACGACAATCGGAAGGACCGTTGATGGTAGGCGACGCTGTTGTCCAGGCATAAGTTCGGTGACAAGTGGTGGTCGGGCGAAAATCCGGTGACGGTCTATGGCCGAGCAGTGGTCGAGGAGCTCGATGGCAAGAGATATATCAGATTTCTCTTCCTTTCATCTCTTATTTTCTCCTTGCTTTGTCCCCCCTTCAGTGAAGAATGAGGGTTTTATATATAGTATTCTATGAGTGGCATGATCAGTAAATATGGAGAAGATCAAGGACATGTTGGAAGTATTTCAAATAGACGGCCAATATTATCTCCTTTGATCATGGATCGTTTATCGAGCATTTAAGTGCCTTAATGATACCAAAATTCAGGGATCTTGGGCTCGCTGGATTTGTCTCGTCGAGCCACTTGATTCGACTATAAGCATGTCACATTTGAATATCATTTGGTGACTTTGGTCATCCACTTTATGTTTTGAACCTTCTAAATGTGCTTCAGACCCTTCATTTGGACTCATTTGGGATCGAATTGGGTCAAATTTGATGTCATTGGTTTCATCTTTTCGAGACGTTCAATTTAACTATAAGTTTGCTGAAATTGGAGTTTGGATGGTGTCATGGATTTAATTTCAGAAGTTTACAATTTAAATTTGCCTTGATATTCGTGCCTGGTCATAAAAATTATTTGATGATATATCACACCCCTTTGATCTTGCCATTCTTCCCAAATGCCACAGCCAGTCATCTTCCAAAACATCAACTCAATATGTTGATATGTTGAAAACTGTCAAAGAGAAGCTAACAACCTCTAATGACACTTGTAAGCAACAAGCTGACCAACATCGTAGAATCAAAGTTTTTCAATCTTGGTGATCTTCTTATGCTTCGCCTACGCAAATAGCGATTCCCATCAGGTAGTTGCTCCAAGCTCTATCCAAGAAAGATTGGCTCGTCTCCCACAAATTGTACCGAATCAATGACAATGCTTACGTTGTCGATTTACTTTCTAAACTCAAAACTTCTTATACTTTTAATGGTGCTGACATCCACATCTACCATCCACCTGATAATGCTCCTCTTCTATCAACTCGCCAGAAGCGAGCTCTTCTGAGGCTGAGGAGATCTGAAGTAGTGCATATGCCATTGAGGGGTACTCCACTACCATTACAGTACCAATATCACTCTCCACTTATTTTCTATTACAGCTATTTCTATTTCAGTTAAAATTTCATTTATCTTTGACCTTTTTATGCTCAGCCAGATATAGTATTTTGATATAGAAATTATATATATGTATTGAAGGTAGTAAAATCAGGTAGGTCATATATACATTTGCTATTTTTATTCTTTTGTGTTGCTTCTTCCTCTGGCTGCTACTCCAAGCATTAATCGAGCTGACCCTTGTTCATGCTTAGGCTTTGTTTACGGCTGCTTTCTTAATGTTTAGAATTTTTTTACTAAAAAACTGTTTTAAAAAACAATAAAAATGCTGTCCCAAATGAAGCTTTAGACCCATTTACTCATGTTTGTTCGCATTGAGCTTTTCTTGATACTAAAAGAAGTAACTAATCATAATCTTGAGCTATGTTAACATTGTTATAGCATCCCTGCATAGTTCTCAAGGATACTAGTTGTTGAAACAAGATCTGGAAAGGTGAGCAGAATTTGTTTCGTATGGGCAATGGTCTAGGCTTCGTTTGGGGCGGCTTTTTTACTGCTTCTTAAAGCAACTTTTTAGTATAAAAATTAAAAAAAAAAATTGTACTAAAAAGCTGTTTTATAAAACAGTAAAAAAGTTGTCCCAAACGAAGCCTTAGAATACAAATGGCCGTACATGCAGCTGTAACAAGCATCTGTTTTTTCATAGTTCCTGGATATCCATTTAACAAAATTGAGTTTCTATTTACAGGCTTTAGCTGGTCTTAGCAATTAAATTATGATGCAACAGTTCTCATATATTGCAATAGCATAATAACAAGCTGTTGTTTTCTATGTGTGATCTTAATGCAGTGGATTTTTTTTTTAGGTTTCAAGCATGGCTCTTCAAATAGAACCAAACTTCACCCTCCTTTATAGAGGTAAGTGGTGACTATAAACAGGAATTAAATAGGAAAATTTTTTTGGTCAGGATCTTAAAATTACTATACTTGTTTTGTGATTAGTGTTTTTTTCAATTAAGATTTCGTTTGGGACGGCTTTATCACTGCTTCTTAAAGCACTTTTTTTGAATAAAAATTAAAATATTTGTACTTAAAAACTGCTTTAAGAAATAATAAGAAAGCCGTCCCAAACGAACCCTAAATCCCAAGCAAAAGCTGTATGAACCGAAATATTCAGCTGAACAAAACGTTGAAACAAACGAGATTATGTATCAGTCCTTAGCAATTAGATTCTTTGAGTGAAAGGTAGCTTGTGGCTTATTTTACATTTATCAATGGCTTCTGTATAGCAAAATCATGCTTCAGATAAGGAAATTGTTTATTATAACTTGTTGTTTTCAAGATAAATCACTTTTCAAAGCGTGTATGGTTTAGCTATGTTCCTTTTGATATTTATAATTTTAAAAATTTTAATGAAATTTTTATAATTTAAAATTATTGAGACCTCAAGCAAAATTCAAATGACAGAGAGCACCATCAAAACAATTCAGTGATTGAGTCTAATTATGGGAATTGGTCAGGAGCTGCCTTTATGGTGGGCGGAAAGGCCCATGTGAAAAGTCAACATTCTGCGATTTTCACGATTTTTTTTTTTTGGATAATATTTTTTTTAATTTTAAGTACAAAATTTTTTGAGCTAAAAATTTTTATACTAAAAAAATATTTTAGAAATCAACAAGAAAATTATCCCAAACTAATCTTTTTATTTGGATGAAATTTGACTTTTCATTGATGCAATTATAACAATTATAAAATATACGTATATTATTGAGATAATTAAAATTATAATGGTCAAAATAAAACAACAAATTATATGTATAATAATTTTAAAATTTTATATATGTATTTAAATTAATAAGTTGGGCTTAAAAATTACAACGAAGTTGATTTGAGATTTATCATTGTTTTAGTTGATCGGATCATTAAGTTAATTAAGGATCTGTTTGTTTGTGATGAGTATAATTTTTTATAAAGATTGTAAAATCGATATGGGTAAATTATTTTTTTTTAAAAGTCATTATAAAAAGTAACTTTTTCATAATTTTTTAATATTAAAATATAATAATTAAACAGAAATTATGTTTGGAGTAAAAATGAAGCAGTAAGAATCCCATTCTTCTAAACAAACCCTAAATATGACCCTTGATCTAAAAGAGTTAGCAAGGACAATCTTCAAACATTTGTAAAAGTAGAATTACAGGATTGGTCAGTTTTCTCACATTTGCTAACAAAATTTTTTTAAGCCTACCTTTCTTAATATAAGTCAAATCTATTATATCTACTCTCCTAACATGAGCATCAAAAGCTGTCATTTTATGTGACCAAATCATCTAAGTAGATTCTCTCTAATATTATCTTCTACTAGAGCTACTCCAACCTTTTCACATAAATGCTCGTTTCGTATCCAGCCTCTAAAAGTAAAGCCACTCATCCACCTGCAACACTTAATAGTGAGCTTCTCTTTTAATGGCCAACATTTTGCACCATAAAACATTACATGTCTCACCACCATCTTATAAAACTTTTTCTTATGTTTGAAGTGGACTTTTCAATCACACAACAAGCCAATGCATTCTTCTACTTCAACCATCCAACTTAAATTATACTAACAATATCTCCATCAATTTCACCCTCTCTAAACAATAGACCCAATATATCTAAAATGTACTCTTATGAATGACTTAATCGACCAAAATCATTATCCCTCTACTAGATCAATTATTAATAATATTTCAATCCATATATTCGATTTTAAATATACCAAACGAAAATCTTTAGACTCTTTAGTTTAACCTCCATAATTCAAGTTTACCTTCAACTCCCTCTAATATTATCAACAAGAAGAATATCATCAACAAAAATCATACACCAGGGTATAACCTCTTCCAAATGCTAGTGAGACCATACATGACTAAAGCAAAAACATATGGGCTTAAGGCTGAGAGATTAAATGAAACAATAATTCAAAAAAAAAAAAAAAACTTGCGACGAATATCTAACGTTTTAATAAAAGAGTTACAGCAAATGACTTATAAATGGAGCTGCATGAGAGATGAAATGATCATTCCATCACAAATGAAAATAGAAAAGAAAAAAACTTGATACCATAAAAAGCGCACCCAGATCCAGGAAATAGTTATTAAAGCCAAACAAGTCATCAATCACATCGAAAAAGATACAAGGACAAAAACTATGTTCATTCGATTTTTCAATTCAGATATAATATAGAGTTACATTAATCAACAAACACTCTTTCGATCAGGAAGATTTTCATTTAAATTTTGCCTCAAAACCAAAGTTCAATCCAAGAAGAAAACAGTCAGAATTCTCACTTGGATCCACCGAATTTCCCCATCATTTTTGCAATTACAGGAGCCACCTTAGGGTTTGATTGATGTTTAGCAAAATTTGCAGGATTCTTCATAACTGCACATGCACAAACCGTTGCTAGCTAATAATAGAGGAAAATTTTGAAATATTACAAAAAACTACCAAATTTAGGAATTCATATTCATGGAAAATAAACAAAAAGTGGGCATGTTAGATGTGTGGAAACGTGCTGTTGCATATATATATATATATATATATATATTTTTTAATTAAAAATATTTGACTAGTACAATAAATAATTAAAATACTGGAACCTGAGTTTATGGAACCACAACAACATCAAGCCTTTATCCCACTACGTGGGGTCGGTTACATTTTTGAATTCCTTTTTCTCCATTGTGTCCTATTAAAAGTCAAATTCTCGTTTAAATCTAATAAAGAAAGGTCATTCCTAGTATTTTCTAACCAAGTCGTTTTAGGTCTACCCCTACCTTTCTTAACATAAGTCACAATCTAATACATCTACTCTCTAACCGGGTCATCGGAAGGGCCGCCGTTTTATGATGACCAAACATCTAAGGCGACTCTCTCTAATCTTATCTTCTACTGGAGCTACTCCAACCTTCACGTATATGCTCATTTCGTATCCTATCTCTAAGGGTAAAGCCTGTGAGACCTCGTTCCCTTACTGTCCTCTCTAATTTGGATTTTCTCTCCAGGATCGTCCAGGACGATTTTAGATCGTCCAGGCATCGGCACTGTAGAAAATATCGGCCTGAGAATAGTTCTGGGGACCGTCCAGGACGATATTTGTTGGTCTGATCGTCCGGGGACGATCTGGCGATCGGCCGGGCCGAATCTGCTTTATGATATAAGAAAATCTCGTCGTTTTGAGGAGAGAGAAAGAGAACGGAAAAGAGGAATCTTGAGTTTTGTGAGGCCGCGTAGGGCTTTTCGTCCGACGCTGCTGTTGGAGAAAGTGTAGATCTCTCGTGGTAAGGACTCCGAAATCCTATTTCTGTTTTCAAAGATATTGGTTATTGACCGAGTTGTGATCTTGTTTTGTGTTTTCCGATGTCGAACTTTTGACCTAATTTTGATTTGACACAACTTCCACCGCACAACTTTTTGGTATGTTATAGATATGACTATTGTACCGATTTGAGTGTTTTCTGCGACGATTTTACAGGTCGGAATTGATTCTACGCGATTTTAATCGAATAGAAAATATCAGGACGTGATTTGATTTGATTTCTATAGAATATAGTCTTGTATTGATGTCGTGGATATTCTGTTGTAATTTGGATGAAATTTTGGAATTGTGCCTTTTGCAGGATTTTTGTGTAAAATTTGATAGAACATGCCGTTACTCTGTCCGAATTTAATGATATTCTGACTTTGTTTGAAATTGATAATGAATTGAATGCTGCATGACTATTGATATGATCGTTTTAGATTTCTTTAATATTGTTATATGCATCGATTATGAATTGATTGAATTGATTGCATACTAAAGACAAGATGGGAACCTGGTTTGAACGTTGGTTGGAGGATAGATATTAACCGTACAGGATGGTGGCCGACGCGGCTTTCCTTAACACTCGATTATGATTTCTACCAACAGCACTATAAATGGGAAAGTTTAAGGAGTTTATCATATGCCGACGGCGGCCAGACGGGCAAAAAGAGTGAACTCTTTTGATAGAACCAACGTGCGGATATCTACAACAGCAATATGGATTCTAACAACAGCAATATAGATTCTACAACAGCACTATTGATTATGCACTAGGTGTTTGTGCTTGTACGAAGTAAGACCTTGTATGGATTTGCATGTAGTATACGATATTGCATCGTATGGATTCCTGATAATCATGATTTATTTGATTTCCGATTGATTTATTCGATATTGATAGATTTATCGAATTGATATTATTATCGTACGAATTCATTGATTTCATTGATTGATCCCATTGAGCATTATACTATTGATTATTGATTCATAGGACTGGACGGCATAGATTCATACGACTCATTGATATTAATTGTCCTGCACTTGATTTGACTTGCACTATTGATTTATTCGTATTTTTTTTGAATTGATCCCTCTGAATCGAACTTGTAGTATAAGACTGATTCCGATGATTGATTTGACGATTTATTGTTTTGTAATGGATTTATTATTGGAAACGGATTTAATGACATTAATGGAATTACAGGAATTTATCATGTTGAATTGCGTGATGTTATGGATCTATAGATACGGGAGGCACCGATATTGATATGGATTCTTCATAATGGAATTAATAGATAATTGACACTGATATTGATATAGATTGTATCGAATAGATAGATACGACATCGATATTGATATGGTATAGATATGGACGATAATGGATAGTATGATTACAAGCATCCCTGACATGATATTGATACAATTGATTGTCGTCGTACTGATTAATCGATATGACTTTGATTGAATGGATGTTGCCGTATGATTTGATTTAATCGTATAATAGTTTTCTTTATAGAGCTGATTGATATTGATATCCTATTGACCTGAAGATTTTATGTTATTGATTTATCATTTGAATCTCTGTCGCCGTATTGATTGAGATCGTTTATTGGGATTTTTGAGCTGTAGAATAATGAACTGGCGAAAGTGCTTTATTGATTGAAGCATGTATTTCTCAGACCATAACAAAAATGTCCAACGCAGTCAGTATCGTCAAAAGTCCTATTATTGAACGCAAACAATAAATGTCGGCGGTAAGTGTCGGATTAGTTAATTGTACCTATTGACGAGAGAAGCGTACTGAAATAAATATGGAATTGACTCGATTATGCAAGTTATTCGTTTCTGACACCGAGTCCCTAAATTATGATTAATTGATGATTATTGATTTGCTAGTATAATTGACACAGGAATCTATGATTTGAATAGTGATGATATTATGAATAAATTGAAATTGACTAGAATTGACATGATTGATAGGAATGCTTGATAGAGTAAAATCTGCAACTTGATGACATTGCTACGATGAATGGATAATGGAATTAGAAAGCACTTACTGATTTGATTTCCGTACTGATAAATTGAATTTCTGCTGCGATAATAGACTCGATAATTGACTACCTTGATATTTCGATATAGATAATTGTTAATCGATTAGATGATGACCGACATACTGTTAGTTGATTCGATGGTTAAATAATCGCAGTAACCACATAGGAGTCATGAATGAAAAGGATAGTATTGATACAACAGATCCTTGACATGATATTTTGATGGACACTGATTCGTAGGCGTTATAAACTGACTGATGATGATTCAGATTGAGTTGTATTGAAGTGGATTCGGTTGCCTTAATGGATTTGTGAATTTTATCGCAGAAATGTATAAATAGATATCTCATAAATAGAGCTGCATTGTTCATGTATTGTCTAGTTCGCACCACTAACATGATAATAGATTGTGAGTCTTATTTGTATAGTATAGTGTGTATCTTCATTGTGTATCCTCTCCGTACATTGATCTTTAGTATCGATTTGTGGTCGATGTTGAGTCTGTATAATGCATATTATTGAATTACTAGTGCTCTTATGATCTCGATGATGAATTTCCACTCGTACTGATGTCTTAGCACGATCATACGTACGTCATTATTTGACAGCGTGCACTGTCAAACAATCTGGACTCCAAGTGTCCATTGTAATTATGCATAATTGATCGAGTAAAGCGTTATAGGTGAATGAATTGGTCACTGTATCATTCCTGTATTTTCTCGATGCTTTAGAGTAGTTACCAGTTTTGCGGTCTACCATCGAATAGCTACTCCTTCTTTCCTCGTGAACTTATGTCTTCTTGTTATCACTTTGTCACTTCACAATTTTGCCTGATTTGCGTGGATACTCTAAAAATGTTATTAATCTGCTCGGACGGTCAACTCTACTGATCAATCCAGCATGACCTGCACCGCGACACTACACCGCCACAAACAAACCCTATCACCCACAAACCAAAAACAAAAAAAACACAACAAACACGAAAAAAAAAACAGCATTATTGATGTTATTGATTGCTAGTTAATTGACACAGAACATCCTATGGATTTGATAGATGATTATAGATACAATGATATGAACTAGCATATACGATGTATTGATTGGAACTGATAGTATTGACTGAGAGTGACATTGACTAGCGATGCATTGTGATATTGACTAGAGCACTACTTTGATTGATTTCCGCTACTGTCTTGATTTCTGCTGGCCGTTAGACTTGATTTCATTGACTGATTCCGCATTGCAATAGATTCATGACCATTGATTGACCTTGATTTTTATTGACCTGTTCATATTGATAGCTATCGCCGTGTGCTTTGATTTCAGTTTAGGCTTTGGTGACCTGCTGGGCTTTGTAAAGCTCATATATGTGGTTAAAATTTTTCAGGTCCGAGCTTCGGCAAACTGGAATGTGAGTTCGATCAGAAATGTCAGACGAATCCTTTCACTATTGATATCTGAGCGGCATCACAAAGCCACTACATCCCCTGAGCATCCTCATCTCTGCCACACTTAACTTAGTATTATGCTCTCTTTTTAATGGCCAACTTCGGCACCATAAAGCATTGCAGGCCTCACATACCATCTTATAGAATTTTCTCTTAAGTTTGAGGGTACATTTCTATCACATAACAAGCCCGATGCATTCCTCCACTTCAACCATCCAACTTGAATCTGCTGATAATATCTCCATCTATTCACCATCACTCTAAAGAATAAATCCAAGATATCTAAAACGTGTACTCTTATTAATGACTTGATCGCCCAAGTCACAATCCCTCATCTAGGACTATTATCTACTAAAACTATACTCCATATTATTCCTTTTTTAGATACTACTTAAGCGAATACCTTTAGACTTTAAGGTTGACCTCCATAATTCAAGTTTACCTTCAACTCCCTCTCTAGTCTTATCAACAAGAAGAATATCATCAGCAAAAAGCATACACCAAGGTACATCCTCTTGCAAATGTCTAGTGAGATCCATGACTAAAGCAAAGGATATGGGCTTAAGGCTGATCCTTGATGTAAACCAACCGAAATAGGGAAATACTTGGTCAATGCACCTTGTTTTGAACACAAGTAATAGCTCCTGCATACTCTAGAGGTTGATGGTTCGGCAGTTTATGGAACCACGCCAAAAATAATTAAAGGTCAAGCAACCAAATGTATATAAATAAAAACATAGGCCACACATAAATGCAAGTGGTACAAAACTATGAAAGTAATGAAAGAAAGAGACCACATCTTTCTTCTCTTTTCTATTTACTTTCAAATCAGAGTTGTAAACATAAACTTTAAAGCGTACCATCTTGAAGAGCAGCCATTATTTCAGGATCACCAAACGCTGCCATTAGTTCAGGATCCTGCAAACAAGTTGAAAATCAAAAGAAAATATCATATAAAAGAGAATAAGTTCACTCATATAATAAAATATGAAGCATTTCCGCCCAACTCACACACAAAGTGGGGAGAATTTAGTTCAAGATATTCTAATTAGAATAAGATTTTTAATGAGTAGACTAAAAAAGTATTTTAATCAAATTTTGATCAGAATATAAGAAGTGAGTTAGAGATTTTACATTAAGAATATTGCTCATATCAATATTTCCGGGGGCAGATCCAGGCATGGCACCAGGAAAACCTCCGGGCATGCCTCCAGGAAACCCGCTAGGCATGCCGCGCGGAGATCCGCCGGGAAACCCACCAGGCATGCCACGTGGTGATCCCCCAGGGTTTGCCGAAGATGACTGTTCTTTCTTTTTTGCCTTTTCATAAGCAGCCTGAATCAAGGTAGCAAGTCATGCAAACTATGCATTGAATTTGTAATTGTGAATTAATCAATCGCTTATACTGGAAATACGTGACACCTGAGCTTCAGCTCTACGGCGCTGCTTCTCCCGTTCAATTTTTTTCTCAGCTCTTTCTTTCCGTAAACGTTCATACTTCCTGCGGTGTTCTTCAAGCTTGTGCGCATTGGGTTCAACCTGCATAAATAGTGTAGCTATGTTCATTTAAGTTCTATGATAATTAACACCGAGGATGATACTTTCATACATACCTTCTTAAGAATGGCATTGATTTCCTCGTCATAATCCAATTTTGATGCCAAGTGAAGGTCCTTTGCCGATTCTTCCCACTTGCCAAGCATAGCTAAAGCTATGCCACGAGACTTATAACCTTTGGCAGAGTCAGGATTGATCTGAAAGAATTGGATATGAGAATTATCTGACAGATAACTGACGCATTTCAAGAATTTCAAGGAGAAAATGGAAGTTTATGGAGACTATTTTCTCCAAATTCATCACTTTTAAAGAAGAAGATATCGGAGAGTGAAAGACATCAAAAGTTTCAAATGATGAAGAAATGCACGGATTTCAGATGCTTGGTAGTTAATTTCACCTCCAATGCAGCACTTGCATCCCGAATTGCAGCATTTGGCTTCTTCATCTTGATGTAAACGGTCGCTACACAGTAGTAGGTCAAAAGGTGAAAAAAGATTAAATTTCAAGAACCAATGAAATCTTATGAGCGTCTATAGACAGAAAGTGATTACCTCTAGTAGCATACATTATAGCTGATGTGGGATTCAGCGTAATTGCCTCTGACAGGTGCTCAACTGCTTCATCAAACTTGCCTGTCAACAAGTAGTTAATGATGAGAAATTTAATAGAGGAATCTTTAGCATTTGCGCGACATGATTATGATCATGATATTGGAGTGACAACAAAAATAATATCACACCTTCGGAAAGTGCCTCCATGGCTTTCCCCTTCTCCTCTTGTGAGGCATCTCTGCTTTCTTCCGTGACTTCAATAGAAGGATCACCCATCTAGAAAGAGAAATCATAGAATTAGGGATAATAATTATTTTGAAGATGCTTCTAGCTATGGCCTCGCATAATCTATTATGACACATTTTTAACCAGAAAGTTCTTCAAGAAATCACCTTTTGTGGAGGATCATTATCTGCTTCTACAATCTCCCCCTCAAGCTCAACGTCAGACTCTATAACTTCATCGTCTGATTCATGGATTTCTGGCCCATCCTCATCACTTAAAATATCCTCATCCATATCATCATCGTCATTCACCGTTTGGCTTTTCTGAAATCAGCAGAAAAATAAATAAACCAGCATATAATGCGAGCAGCCACAATTTTCTTACTTGAAACAATAATGTGATATTTTCTACTCAAATAAGCAATGCGTTAACGTAGACTTGGGTGTAACTTCATGATCGAGCCAAATTTGAACTAGCAATGATGCGACTTGCATGCCCTGAGCCAGCTCATTTAAAAATTGTTAACATACATATAATTAAAATGTATCAGATATTAAAGGTTTAAGTATAAAATTACTAAAAATATAAAATTAAATGTATTCCTTTACTCATATTTCTTATTATTTCTTCACTAATTTTTTATTTTTTATATATATATATATATAGTAAGCAGTTTGGGAGGCATGACTACATATGACCATAAATGTAGAAGGGGCTGCAGCAACAAAATAAAAAGCTGAGATGCTGAATTAAAAGGACACTGCCGTCAGCAAGAAACTTCACAAAACAACACTACACTGTGAAAAGCAGAGAAAAAGAATGACAACATCAGAAGTATAAGTTGATACATACAGATAATGAACTCCAATGCAGACATGGAACACCTATTTCAGCTCGTCCGAGAACTTAAAAGGAGAAACCTCTTCCCCCCAAAGGAAGAATGAAGAAGATAAGAGTTAGAATTTAACATTTTGCCAAAGGAGTGGATAAATGTGTTTTGATATCGTGAAGTGTACAGTGGAAAAAATGAACCACCTCGCCTTGGAGAACCGTGGAGAATGAAAATGTCAAACTGCCCCTCAAGTGAAGGCATCTTGATCCTCTAGTTAATCATAGGCATATCATCTCAGAAATTCATACTAGACTGAAATGCTGAAGGTTGAAGGCTAATTTAATCTCGGAGAGATTCTAAGCCACAATATGATCGTGACATAGCCATCATTCATCTGATGATGATGGATGAAACGGTGGTTTTCCGCTTCAAGATTAGTACTTTTGGGGATTTGGATCGATCTTCCGATCTTGTTGATGGCCTTGGAATTGGCACTGAAGGTAATCTAAACAGGGTTGTTAGATTTCATCAAATCATCAAAATCAATGCCAACCAAGTGTATTTCATTAGGCCCAATTGGAGGGGTCGACACAAAATACAATCTGAGATGTAAAAGGACCATCAGTCTTTTTGATCATCACTGTACGGGGACCATGGAGGTGCACAAATCTTAAAACTCTTTATTGGACTATAAGAACTAATCTAGAGTCAAGAATTTTTTAGCATTAAAAAAAAAGGATGGTTCCAAGCATCTAAGTAACAATTACACTCGAGGCAAAAGTCAGATAAGCAATACACTGAATTTTAAACTATATTATCTATAGTCATAATTCAAATGTGTGATGCGGTCAAAAACAATGCCAAGTTTAAATATTCCATTCAACATAAGTAAATAATTTTAAATATTCCATTCAACATAAGTAAATAATATGTAAAATGCTGATGTAAAATACAAATTTGAATTTTGCTAGCTAAGGCCTTCCCTCAAAACAACATGCCTCGACCTAACGTGATTGTAGCAAAAAATGAGCAAGAATTTTTTAGGATGTCAATCGTGAATGAAGCACCAAAACTTAATTTATTGTATTTATTGTGATGAAAAATATACAAGAGTTACCTTGGCCATCACCCTAAGTAATGTGTCATAACTAAGCCAACAGTTGTGAAAAATGAGCAAAGGTAGCTAAGTTTTAAAATAAAGATTAAATTATTGCTTAAAATTTAGAAACTTTAAATGGGGAGCCAAATGAATTGAAGACAACAATTAGAAGATGGGTTAATATTACTTGTGTGCTATAAACTAAAATTATCATGATCAGGATCATTAAAGATATATATGATAGAGCGTTGACAAATGCACTAAACAATTACAATAAGGAAGTTTCAAATTAAGGATCAACATTATGGGTCATTGACATGCCCACCTGATAAGATCAGGTTATGCTCATATATGTGTTCAAAACAGGTATTAAAAAACCTAACAAATTTAACTCAATGTAGTCGAATGGGCATTAGATGTGGAGCCAATCATTTGGCATAACATGACTCAACATCCTCTAAACTCAAATTAGCTTAAGTAAGATCTCATCAATGACTTATCAGTTTGATGTACTCAACTCAACAACCATAGTTACATGTTTTCAAGTTAGAGACAACACGTCCAACTAATTATGGCCATGTCCCATCAGTCACAACAAACGATAAATGTGTATTTTCCCCTCCTCTTCATAAAAAAAAAGTCCTTGATAGCCTATACTTATTTAGCTTGTTATAAGCTAAGTGATTTTTTACCTCTTGGTCTTTTGATGATTTTTCTTTCAATCCTCCATCCTAATGGACTAAAGACATGACCTAAAGGTCTCTTGAATAGAATGAGAAAAGTTGTGGGCTCATCCTTCTCTATTACATCCTCCTTCAAAATAGATCCGACTATCAATCCCTTTTTGACACAAGAAAATAAATATTCGGCGTCCAAAAGCAAAAAATACTTATCATTTGATTTTAAAGAGCTTTAAATAAGATATTCAAAATAAGATATCTTGATGTAATTCCTTTTCCATAATAACTTCAATCAACAAGACATTTATTTACGCGAAAATTCTAAAATAATGAACTTAAATACTCACAAAAATAAATTAGCATTTAAAAAATGAACAAAGTACATGACATGCAATTTTAGTGTATATGATATTACTACTTATCATTAACATTACAAATTGAAGTAACACCAAGGTATGGTATGCTTAATTTGGAACTATTATAATACAATAGAAAATAATCCGTGATTATATATAATTTTTTAAAGTGAGATTAGGTGGTTAAAACAATAAGATGTCTCGAGAATATTGTGCAATAAAAAAATAATATGAAAAATTAAAGGTAAATTTCATAAATCCCAACGCAGCCAATATGTTAATGTTATGACCAAAAAGAGAAGGATCACAAATAAACAAGTTGAGGAAAAAATTAAGAATGTTGAGATAGATGTGTGGCAAAAGTATATAAGGGTGAATTTAAAAAAATTATTAGATATATAGCAAGAGATTATTTATTAAAAATAAGAGACTGAGATAGAAACTCGATTTGGGCATGTACAATCAAGGGCAAAAAAATCATCAATAAGATAAGTGATAAAATTAAGGGATCAGTAAAAAAATGGAAGATTGAACGCAACTTCATAAAAATTATGCAAAAAGACTTGTACAAAAAACATTTATACCCTAACTTGCGCTCAACACTCGGAATAAATAAATGGAAAATGAAGATTTATAACATCAACCTAAAATAGTTGGGAACAGGTTTATTATGACGGTTATGATGAATTGATGATGATATACAAATGCTATCCAGTGTCTATATTACTAATAATTTCTAAATCAAAGTTCATCCATCAAGGCCACCAACTTCATATGAGCATCTAGTGTGTTAAAATATTTTAAGTGAGCTCGTAAACATCATCCAAAAATATTATTATAAACAATAGGCAATTAATTAAAATAACGGAAGATATAATCACATTCTTTATCAACTAGTATTAATCCACCTTATAATATTATTATAGGTAATTGAATCAAGTAAGAACCAACAAATTAAGGAAAACAATAATGATTAAGAATGCATGAACCAAGCTATTGTGGACCCAAGTAAATCTAACTTTGTGAGCAATACTATTTGACCATCTTCTTGCATGCAGTGAGAAACGTAAAAAACATAAACAGAAGGCTTAAATAAAAACATGATTATACAGCATAATAAACTACATAAATATAGTATAATAAAAAATGTATATCACACATAGATCACACATACGTTAGTCTTATTCACTTGGTTCGTGTATGGGGCAACTAATCTTCTTGAATAACTTTAAATCTTTCTTCCGTGAGATAAAGAAATATAAGTAACAATTAGCAGTGGAACCATAGAGCGAGGGGTGGGCCGTCCCCCCAACAAAAAAAACCTATTATGCATATACCCGTCATGAATATATATAAGTATACTCACATCGAAAGCATAGAAAATGATAGTTTTAAGAATTGTGTCAATGTATTCCACTTCAATGCATGAAATTTGCATCTACACGAATTCAAAATCACTTCAACAATGCTAATTGCTAAACACTACTAATGGTTATTTCCTTGTGGTGATGTTAATGTGTTATAGATGTTATTTCCATTGCTAGTCCTGCTAGAATCTTCTTGATTCAGCTAATTATCGACTCAATCATTAGGAATTCATTTTGTTCTAATCTTATCTTGTCATTTTGTTTTTTGTTTTCATCAACCAATTATCTCTTTTTGTTTTGCCTTTTTAGATGGGTTACCATGTCGCATAAATCAAATTGCCATTTTTGTTCCTACCTTCCCACTATCGGCTTTGTTACTTGCATGCATGCAACATTATTTTACCCTTTATGCCTCCAAATCCTTACTACAGCCTCAAAAACGCTTTTTTGCCACATTGTAGTCAATGGCAATTTCCTTCTTATTTTGACTGGTTCCAGAAGCAATCATGAAATTGAATTTAAAGGGAATATTTCTACTTAGGAATTCATTTTGGATGAATAGAAACCTATTGTTTTAACTTGATTTCTAAATATAATGTGTAATTTCTTACTTGGGCCATTTGAAGGTTATAAGCAAGGCCTTGAGGCTTGTTAAAATCAATTGGACAATGAATATATTAAAAAAAATAAAAATAAAAACTCTCTGGTGCCGATGTGCATATTAGATGTGTTTTCTTTGACTGCTTCAAATATGTTTACAGCTACTTCAACATGAGAGACCCCTTGTACTAGTACGAGACTTGATTCTTCCTTTTGGATAATTTCTATCCTTATTTTTTTATTAATTAATTGCATGTTTGATGGTTTGCATGGTGATAGAAATTGTCATGCAAAAAATATGTTGTGTTTTCTTTGAAGTGTGAATATGATTTGTTGCTGCATTTTATAATTTTTTATACCTTATCGTGAAAATATAATATGATGGACAATTGTTAAATCATATTGTTGCATGTATAAGGATTGTTTAATGTCCTTACAATAAAATGGGAAAATCTTTGACAAAATTATGCAATCATAACCTACGAATTCTGATTTTCTTTTGCTTTCATTTTACATGCCATATTAGGCTGCTTCAAAAACCCTAGGTTGCATCACCCCCTTATCTTAAATGTTTATAAAAATACACCATTGATTATGTAATATGTTATATATATATATATATATATATATATATATATATGAATGCTAAAATGAACTCATACTTTATGAGGTCAAAATTTCCCCAATGAATTGTCAATGTACGGAGATAATTTTCTCACCAAATTTGATTGCAAGTCAAGATTTCAACCTAACTTCTTTACAAAACTTTTCCCACCAAACCTAAATCTTTACCTAACCTATTTGCAAATCTATGACCTACAATCTCCAAGCATTATATAAGAAGAAGGTTACATGCAATCATTCTTCTCCTTCATTCAACCAAGCGTAGAGGTGATTGGTGGGCTGTCCATAGGTTGATAGCCACCTTGGATAATGCCATTCAAAGAGATTTTATTTATTGGGTGTGACAATTAAAAATGAAGGACCAGGATGATTTAGCATAATAAACATCTCTATGGGGTCATGCATGCATGCAAACTTAGCCAAATCACATAAACCATTTAAGCCACGTGTGTTTCAATGTGAAATTGATGATGGCTTGAATCCCGTACCAAACAAAAACAAGAAAGTGATATTTATGAAAATTTACTTCATAATATTTTTTTATGACGTAGGTTAAGATTAACTATGTTAATTTATCATCTTAATATAAGACGATTGAGATTTAGGCATTAAGATTAACTATGTTAAATTATCATCTTAATACTTTGTATAGTTGTACGTAAATAAATATCAGATGCTTCTGCAACAACAATAATAACAACAACAACAAAAGCCTTGATCCCACTACATTGGGTCAGCTACATGAGTCATATTTCTCCATTGTCTTCTATCAAGAGTCAAATTCTCATTTAAAGTTAATAAAAAAGCATCACTTCTAATACTTTTTAACCATGTATTTTTATGTCTACCTCTACTTTCTTAACATAGTCCAGATGGACCAGATCTAATACATCTACTCTCCTAACAAGGTCATCAGAAGGCCGATGTTTTATGTGACCAAACCATCTACAGCAACTCCCTCTAATCTTATCTGCCACTGGAGCTACTCCAATCTTTTCATGCATACACTCATTTTGCATTCTATCTTTAAGAGTAATGCCACTTATCCACTTGTGCATCCTCATCTATGCAACACTTTAACTTAATTTTATGCTTCTTTTTTAATGGTCAAAATTCTACTCCATAAAGCAATGCAAGTCTCACAACCATCTTATAAAAATTTCCCTTAAGTTTGAGGGGTACTTTTTATCACACAGCAAGAGCAACGCATTCCTCCATTTCAATCATCCAGCTTTGAGCAATGGATTCAAGATATATAAAATATGCACTTTTTTAATGACTTGATCATCCAATGTCTCCCACCACTATATCTATTACTATTAAGTATTAAAATTACACTCCATCTATTCAGTTTTAGATCTGCTGAAACGAAAACCTTTACCCTAAGATTTACCTCCAAAATTCAAAATTTTCATCAATTCCCTCTTTAGTCTTATTGACAAGAAAAATATCATCAACAAAAAACATACACAAAGGTACATCCTCTTACAAATGTCTAGCAAGAGCATCCATGACTAAAGCAAATATATGAGCTTAAAGCTCATCCTTGATGTAATCCAACTAAAATAGAAAAATACTTTGTCAAACCACTTTATGTTTGAACAAAAGTACAACTCCTTTATAAATAACCTTAATTACTTGAATACAAGCATTATTAACTATTTCACAAATGGAAAAACTAAACCAATAATAAAAATCAAAGAAAAGTAAAATTATAACAAATAATCCAACTGATATTTCACCAACCAAACTAAATCAACTAAATAAGATCAGTCTGACTAGGTTTATCGATATTTTAATAACCACTCTATTCTTATGTTGGCAACACAAACCAACAATAGATAAAAAGATGAAATAATATATCCATTCCAGTCGCCAAAAGAAAATGAAACATAACCAGTTACCCTAAGTTACCCCAATTCATTTCAACAACGCAATTCAAGGAATGTCACGAAACAAACAAAAAATAGGCTCTCGAAACTGAAAGATCAATTACAAACACAATCTGAGCGAACTCAAACAATGTATGGCAAGAATCTAGAGGAGGATCAAACGGTTACCGTATCACCAGCTCGAGGTGACTTCGCGGAGCCAAAAGATGCCGGGGGAAGCTTAGCACCCAAACTGGACACCAACGGTCCCAAAACCATGAGGATTTCAGATAATCACATCATCATCATACAACAGAACGATAAAAGAAAAAGAAAAGAAAAAAAAAAACCTTTCGAGGTAATCGCGGAAGAAGGAAATAGAGGGGTCGCGGAGGATTTCCGGGTTCCTCCTGCACTGCTCCACGAAGATCTTCAGCTCCTTCACCTTCGCCGCATCCATGGCCGACTTTCAGCGCAAGAAAAGGAATCGAGTGAAGAAATACACTGATAACCTTTTATATTCTGTGACCTTGGGGTTTCGGAGCTTTCGACCGAGCGCCTATAATAAATATAAATAAATAAATGATAAGGGATGGGAATCGGGATAGACCTCCGGGTCTTCTATAAAAGGTTTATTTGGATGAGAATGGCAGTTAAGATTGTTCTAGAATCCTCCAGCGACTTTTTTTTTTATTTTTTTCCCCCGAAAATGTATACGTGAGTGAAAAAAAAAATTATTTATTTTTATTAATACCCAATATTTATTTTGAACGGCCTCTTTGTACACTATTTATTAAAACAAAGCACCGGTTCAAATTCAAAATGGTTTAAATCAATGATAGGATATAGAATCGAAAGGATATGAGGTTCAAAATTTAATTATTTGATTAGAGCTGAATTGAATGATATAATAAATATTAAAATTATTCAATTATAATATATTTAAAATTTATTTAAAATAAAATTAAATATTTTTATGGAATTGGTAGGTTCTACCAAACCTAGACTAGTTTAACAGTTTTTCCATCAAATTGGCAGTTCAAATCAGTTCAAACCGATTTGATGCAAACGCGGTTTTCGAATTCAACCGGATCCAGTAGGCGGTAACTTGGCGGTTGATAGTTGAATCGATCGGTCTGATTTTCAAAACGTTTGTTCAAACCAAAATCTATATTTAGTTCAAATACTTCAAATATGAATAAAATTTGGTTGGACTATTGTTTAAATTAAGATTCAAACACTTGTTATAACTTCATCATTTGAATCTCCATCGATCTTATGATGCATCACCAACAATATGATGCATTCTAATCCTGTGATGATTTCCCAACAAACTCCATCATCAACTTCATCTTCTTCTCGTACCTCGTATACTCACACTTAACCAGCCCTTGTTATACTTTTGTGGTTTTCAGAAGTAAAAAATTATAATGGAAATAATTATTACTGTTGTAATGGAAATACTTATTGATGTTATAACGAAAATAATAATTATTATTATGGATATATTTATTGCTATTTAATGACATGGTTTGAAAACATTTAAATTAATTATCATAAAGACTGTAATTAAAATGATTTTTTTTTCATAGTTTATATAAGACCTTTTTAGTTATGATAAGAGGAAAACACCAATTTTATCTTTATCATTCACTCCGTCATACATATATTCAGAGAAAATATCCACATCAATGTTCATATTTCCCGCCGTGATTAGTACAGATCATCGTGAATAGTCTGTTGAATTTTGGGAGTTAGATCGTTGTGTACCTTCGCACTTAGGAGGAGCGGGAACAGTGCTTCACACGTCTCGAATCATTTATTTGATAAGTATTTTAAATGCAATTGTCTTAATGCTCTTATATATTTTTTACAACAGTCCCATCATTACCTTCCCCAAAGAGCGTCTTATGCTAAAATCATACAATGTCTTCCCTAACAAGCTCTAGAGAGCCCTATCATGATCGATATCATCATTGTTGTCACACCTTGCCACTAGGCCTGGAAGAAAATCACAAGAACCCAATGATAGGGTGCGGCTGAGCAAAATTTATAAAGTAATTTCAAAGCAATAAAAAGATAAAACTTCAAAAAATTGTATCTACCAATAAATTATGAGAGCATATAAACTCAAATACATACTAAATGTCCTACAAACATGAATGAAATTTTCTTTGTACAATTATATCAATTAAATAACTCTAACCTTAATTACCCATCATAGATAAACTTGATACATGAAGCTAGAAATTCCACTAGAAGCAGCCCAAACTATCAAAACTGAAACCAAGAAATAAATAGGTGTGAGTTTGCAATAAACTAAAAATAAAAATAAAAATAAAATAAAAGAGTTTGCAATAAACAAACTTGGCATGTGAAATCCCACAAAGTAAAATATAAACAACAAGACATGGGCATAAATATGAGTAAAGATGAGAACACAAGTAGAAACAATGTATGAATTTTTAATATACATATGTCATTTATGAAAGATGACAAAACTCACAAAGAATTATGTGCCAACTAATAATCATTTGCATTCAAATGCAAACTCGTTCACTTACAAACATGTGATATTATACATCTACAAATGACTCATTGGTCATTTATTATATTTCTTTGTATATTGTTTTATACATAAATATTTATAGTTGGTTTACTACAATATTTTGTTGAAAAATGTAAGCATCAATCCCAATGACATTTAATTATTTCCTATAGTCGTCAATCTAAGAACTCGTTGGTTCAGTATCCAATAGGGTTAAATTAAATAATGACATTTACAAACATCAAACACACAAAGCTTGTATTGTATGCATAGTGCATTTTCAGTAATAGTGTTTAACAAGGGTTATAACATAATTAAGTTCAATTATATATATATATATATATATATATATATATATATATATATATCAGTGATTGATTCATTTGATTTCATGTAAAATAGTTTATAATCATGTAGTAAAATATTCAATCTAGATTGTTTCACTTCATTAGTCCCTTCATATGTGATACAAAGTCGGCGGGAGAGAGAGAGAGAGAGAGGGGGAATGGCATCACCGGCTAACGTGATGCTTGCGATCCAGGAGAAGAAACCCTGCAGCACCGTCGATCTCTACCACCCCCTCCGCCAATACGTCGCCAACCACTACTCAGAGCGGGAAGCAGAATCCCTCGAGGGCGACTTCCAATTCCTCCAACAGTTGCGCTCTGAAGTCGAGAACCCTCCTGATGGATCGCCGGAGCGCCGCCGCGATTATCTCCAATCATACTTCCGCGCTCTCTGCCTTGTCGAGTCCCGTTTCCCTATATCCTCCGATCCTTCCCATATTAACTCAGTCTCCTTTGCTTGGTTCGACGCGTTTCGCCCTTCGAGGAAGGCTGTACAGACTAGCCTTCACCTCGAAAAGGCTGCTGTCCTGTTCAACCTTGGCGCTGTTCAGAGCCAGGTAGCCGTAGCCGCCGATCGAGCGTTGGCAACTGGAATTAAGGTCGCTTGTAGTTCTTTCCAGGCTGCGGCCGGGACTTTCGCGTTTCTTAAAGATAATGTTTCTGTTAAGGCTGTAATTGGACCTGGGGGTTCCGCGGTCGATATGTCTACAGAATGCGCGGGGATGCTCGAGAGATTGATGCTTGCACAAGCGCAAGAGTGTTTCTTTGAGAAGGTTATTACCGATTCGAAGTCCCCGGGTCTCTGCTCTAAGATTGCGAGGCAGGTCAGTACCCTTTTCATCAAATTTCTCCCCTTCGTATCTTTTAAGATTGTGTTTGTTTGATATGTATTTGAGGGATAGGATGCAAAACCCATAAAGTGAAGCTAAACTCTTAAATATCAATATGTCTATGGGTGAAATGGTTGGAATTTTATCAGAAATTTGAAAGTTAAGCATGTTTGTATAGGAGCACTCCTAGGATTAGTGATCTTCTATGAGTTGCACCAACATGGTAAAATCTTGAGACATTAGGTCAAAACTGATAATATTAGGATAATTAAGTGTTTGAGCTATTACAAATGTTATGAAAGCAATATGCCAGCTAGAAGATAGGAACTACGTGTCATGCGAGATAAAATATTATATCATGGGAGCTACCTCTTGAACCTTAGGCTGGACAAAGTGCTATATGGCAAATGTCACCTTTTGAACTTGTAAGGGTCACCTTAAGAATCCTATATGCATGGTGGATGATTATCGGCTAAGGATGCTTATAAGGACGTTAGCTACTAAGTATGAGAGAGTGCGAAACTTCTTAAGTAGAGTGAAGCTAAACTCTTAAGCATCGAGGTGTTTTTTTTATAAGATTGTGAAAATTTCATTAGAAACTCAAAAGTGTGCTTGTACATGATCACTTATGGATGAGTGATCTTTTAGGAAGTTACACCAATAGGATAAAACTGTGAGTACATTAGTCTAAAGTGGACAATATCTCAATTGATAAGAGTTTGTATTGTTACAAAGAAAAAAAATAAAATTTAAATATGCGGTTGCAGATTTGTAATAAATGTCGAAAATATTGATATTCCATTTCCTTTTTTCCACTTCCCTTCGATCTAAAGAAAACATAAGTCATCTTTAAGTGCATTATTCTTTGAAATTGAGCCTTTGATTTCTATGGGTTAGATTGACATCATGTTGTCTTAGTTTTGGCGATTATTGGATGATAATTTCTCTGATTTTAGATGTATAGAGCCTTGTATTTTTGTTGGATGATTGCTTTAAACTAGTGGAATTGTAAAATAAAAGAAGGTGGATATACATACAAATAACTCAAAATATTAGGATTTACATATTTAACACTTAAATTTCACTATTTACATGCATAAAACTCAAAGTATGAAGATAAAATAAAGAACAACAAGTCTCCTAACCATCCCATCATGGTGCTAGTTAATCCCATTGCCCTTCGGCCTTCACCTTTGATCCTGTTGCCCCTCACACACCATCAGTCCCGTCACCCTAATCTCCTATTGTGACTTTTTTGAGTCGTCTATGCCGTCCATCCACCACCTTCATCATATCCTCTTAACCCTGCTTATAGGAGTTTGCCGAAGAAGACAATCTACCTCGTCCATCTTTATGTTCGGTGAGATCTATTAAATCTTTTAATAGTGTGCTAGATGATATAAATAATGAAAATTATGTGTGAAATATATAAATCTTAATACTTTGAGTGCTATGCATGTAAGTCTCATTTAGTGGAATAAATTGAAGATATGATAATTTCATTTTTGTGATTGAATATGAGAGAGAATAACATACAGTCTTTTAAGGCAAGAAATAATATTATACAATTGTTTCAAAGAAAAAAATAAGTTTTTAAATAATGTCTAAAATTCAAGATATTTTACCCTACTTAATATGAATAAGATACGATTTATTTTATTATAGGGTATATATTCCTCATAAGGGTAAGCGCTTATGTTTAATTACATTCCAAGAGAAGTAATATCTATATAATACTCTTAATTAAATTAGCGAAAAATAATTTTTATGGTTTCAAAGTTTGGAGAAATATATATTTTTGGAATTTCAAGTGAGATTTGTTCAATTTTGATCATTTTTTTTACAATAATAAAGGATGAAAAGTATAGAATACTGGATTCCGAGCAACACAAAATCACTCCAAATAATCTTATGTTGGGCTTTAAAATTTTGAAGGTTTTAATTTAGGGTTTAAGTTATTCATTTTATTAGAAATTTGTGACTTATATTTCATCAATACAAAATTGAGAAAATGACCATAAAATGAGTGCCTATGATGTAACAAATAATAAACTATCATCCTTAGATTCTAAAATTAAGCCTAGGAGCACCAATAGGATAGTCTAATGAAATACAAATGACTTATAACTTTCAACCCTACCAAGGGTTTAAGTAGGATTGATTCTGCTAGATTTATAATTATGTATGGAAAGAAATGCTAGTTAAACTCACCAAATTGCTTTAAAATCATGATGTCAATATCGATATGCTCTGTAGGGTAGATTAGGCTATTTTTAGTTAAAAAATTGAGACGTACAACTTAGCTACTAAAGCAAAGCAATTCAACCATTAAGGATATGCAATGTTTCAAGATAACCAATTAAAAATAAAAAAAAACAATTATATATTAAATAAATAAATATATATATATATAATATTATATTAAATTGAATTGAATATAAGTATTTGATTTATTGAGAAATTATTAATTACATAATATTTATCGATTTAGTATAATTAGTGTAAAATTTAACTAATGTTAAATTTTCTCATATCAAACATGATAGATTAAATACTAGGTTAAATTATTTTGAATATAAATTAATTTAATTAATTAAATTTAATATTGAATATAGTATATATTAATTAAAGGTTATTTTAAAATAATTATATTTAATGTTTTAGTTTTATAATATTTATTAAAGAATTTTAAATTATATTTATATTAATTTAATTGAAATTAAATATTTAAAATTAATTTAATAAAAATTTATATTTTCTACATGATGGATTATTAAAAGTGATATGGAAGAGAGAATTATATGCTTTTAGAAATTTCTGCTCTCCATAAACATTTTCTCATTTAAAAACTGTTTGTCTCTCGGCTTATCTCTCCATGCATTTACTCTTTTCAATAGTTACCATTTGAATTTTAAGCATAAAACACACAAAAGAAATGCGTTTTCTATGGAAACAGAAAGGGCAATTGCATTTTCCCTAAAAATGCTTTTATGCTTTGCATTTTTTTGCAAAACGAGCTAACCATTCACGTTTTTTATCCTTTTTAAATTTTAATTATAATGTGTTCCTTCTCCTAATTTATACCTAAAGCCTAATCCTTTTAAAATTTGCCCCACAATTTTTTATGAAATCTAATTTACAAGTCAACGATGACCTTGAGATCATTTTCCAAAAAAATGAAGTTATGATTTATTGATTTAATTTATTCATTAATCTTTAAAATTTGATAAAATATATGTATTTTTTGAAATCTATTCGGACAGAATTTTCTTCATTTTTATATGCTTAACGAATTTTCCTTTGCATTTTTATATTAACATAGTTAATAATAATTTATATTAAATTTATAAATTCATATGTTAAGTAAAATTATTTTTTTAATCACAATTAATATTATTGCATTATTATTGTATTTTTAGCATAGAATTTATTTTTTATTCAAATGATTTTAATATTTATTACATCTTCCGGTTCAACCCCCGTCAAAGCATTCAACCTTGAACCTTTTTTTGTGGTTTTATGTCTAGTCCGGTTTTAACGATATTGTTTATAATTGAATATCAGGTTGTTTTCTTAAAAATTAGGGATAATTTCTTAAGGGATTTATTAGATAGGTTAGATGGTTAAATTTTATTTTAAATTTTTTTCTATGTTGTATGAGATCAAGATGTTTTTAGAATTTATTTCAAGCTTTTGAGATTTATTTATAATTAATTATAAATTTTCCAATTTTAGGGTTTATTTAGGCGTGTTTACTTTAAAAATTTAGTTATGGTTGAAATATGCATCAAACTCTTATGGGATAAATCAAGAGGTCTAAGAGAACCTTAAAATTATCCCATATCAGTTTGATGACAATCAGATGTGATGGAAGGGTGCTAATTAAATATTTAATTTATAGCTTCATCCTCAAATAAATTATTCGAGATTGAGTCAAATCCTTTTGAAAATGTATTCTTTTTTTTTTTTAATCCATAAAGGGCTTATTCGTTGAACTATGCTAATAAATGTGTTAGTTATGATTTCCTTAAAGTTTTAAGCAATTTTTTATTTATTAAATCCTAAATATTTTTTTTATTAAATTGTGTGCTAACACAACATGCACTTTGCACGCGACAACAACTAATTTTTTGCTTTTGTAAATGGAGGAACTCGCTGTCCACATAAGACTAATTTTGACCATTCGATTTTAAATCAGTTGGCATAGATCAAACTGTGGGATTAAATGGTGTTATGAGATTTAATATATGAAGGGATCAAGATTGTCCATTTTATTTTAATAGAATGGATGGTAATCTCATCATCTCCTACCTTCAACATAGATTAGAAGTTGTTAATTAAATTTTTTTTATTGGGTTAACTAATGCTGATCTTCTTGTTCCAATGGATCGAGAAGGATCACGAAGGTTAGGAGAGGTCATCCTGTGGTCTAATCTTCTTATGATTGAAGTTTGCTTCACAATTTAAGAAATTAAATAAAAAAATTGGGTTTAAGCTAATTTCACATGCTTGAATCCAGCGAGTTACTGATCAAATTAGTTGCTGCATGAGCTTCGTCTAATCACATCGAACGAGTTTGACGAAGTTTGCTTTGATTGTGGATGGCTGGATTGATAAGATCAAAATCGCCATGAAGAGCTCATTGGAGCGTGGAGGTTCTTGGTGTTAAAGTGGGAGTTGAGGATGGAAAGTGGTTGGGGATGAAAGCTTAGACTTTGTAGATGGATTGCATAACTAAAGCCCATTGGTAGAAAAGCTATTTTTAGATTGATCTGGGAGATCTTTCCACCCATTCTACTGGCAAGAATGTAAATTAAGGGTTGAGGTTGTCAAGGACAATCCACTAGGAGGTTGCCAAGTTTCCACTTTCCAGAAATATTCCAAGGCCTTTTTATATATGTATTTTCCATTAATAGTTGAATCAATTTTCCATCTTAGCAATCCATGGCCAATTCAATCAAAATGCTTGCTAGCAATCATCTTAGGCGATAGTGGACGGTAGGGATCAACTTGGGCTAACTAGGGACAAGTGAGCAAGGCAAACCATGGGATGCACCTAGCCCAAATCATCATTTAGGTTCATTAAGTGGTCAATTTCAATTAGGTTTCAAGCATTGGGCTAGCCCAAATTAGCTGGGCTACTTTTGGGCAACTAGCCTAGGCTCCTAAGAGGTGTCTACTAAAGCTTGAGAAGATTTTGTTTTAATTAAATTGTGTTTAGGTCAAGAGAACCCAAGGTGAGTCATATGGACCCCTTGGTCAAACCTAGTTTGACCATGGTTAGGAGGCACGACCGTGGATCAAACATGAGCTCAAATGCTTTTAAAGGCCATTTGAACTTAAGATCAGTCTTTGGGTTTAGTTTGGTTAATTTGATTTAAATTTGAGTAAATTAGGGTTAAGGATGTTGTGGTCAAGCCTACTTTGATCATGGGTAAAAAATGTTGACTAGAGCTCTTTGACCTATGAGACGAGTTTAAGAGGAAGACGAGGGTTCCTAGGGTAGATCATCGGGTCATGGGCTACCTAAGGTTGGCCAAAGGTGGGTACCATAAAGCATGAGTAGGGTGAGCCATTAAGTTTTCTATATTTGACTTAGGATCGACCTAAGGGGGTGTTTGGTATCGGATTTATTTCGAGTTTTTAGTAGGATTTAGGGTAAATCCAGCCAAACGCAAAAAAAGTCGCGGTAAATCCGGCAAATCCGTAAATCCCGGATTTGCGGATTTACGCCGTAAATCCGCTAAATCCAGGTAAATCCTAATCTAGAAGTCGGATTTACGGGATTTAGCCGAAGAAGCGCGCGAAAGGTAGAAACTTACCTTCATAGCGAGCTAGCGAGCTCCCTTCGTTGCTTCAAATCAAAATTTTTGTAACGTCCGATTTGACAGGAAGGAACGTCGTTGAAGGAGCGAAGTCGAACAACGACGAAGGAGCCGAAGAAGCGACACCTCCTGCGAAGCAACGATGTCACACCCTAGACGCCTCAGCCATTCACTATTTAACTTAATTAATATTAATTTAAATATTAAGAACTAAGTAAATAATTAAATATTAATAGTAGAATTAGTGTATAAATTAATGTCTAATTAACTTGATAAAATAAGATTAGTAATTAGAAATTAGTATAATTATCTATACATTATTAAACATAAATTAATAATAGAAAATAATAGTTAAATAATTAAAAGAAGCAATAGAAATTTAAGTGATTAATGAGATAATTAATAATAAATTTATAATTTAAACTAATAAATAAGTAATTGTAATTATTAATTAAATAATTAGTTAAAATATTATTAAATAGTAAGTTATTTCAAAATAATTAGTTAATTCAATTTTAAATCTCCAACCGTTTTAAATCCTAGTATCTGTTGCCAAACATATTTCTGGATTTAACAAGATTTAAAAATTGTCATACCAAACACAATTCAGGATTTAAGAGCCCAGGATTTACTAAATCCAGATTTACAGGATTTAGTAAATCCTACTAAAATTGAATCCAATCCTATACCAAACACCCCCTAAGGTTGACTTAATGGGATCCACTATCTACTAAGGGTAAATAGGTAGTGTCCTATGGTCATGGGTAGTTCTTGGGTAAGTCTAGGTTGATTGGATCATGGATGTTCCAATTAAACCTAAATGGTCACCTAGGGATTTTCTTAGATTTTGGATCTTGAGTTAGTATTCTACCTATTGCAAATGGTCTTGTAAAATGTTGAAAAGATTTCTACTTAGCTTATAAAGGTCTAGGGTAGACTTCTAAGGGTCTTGGGTGGCAGATGGGTCAAACTATAGTTAACCTAGTCCATATGTCTCAAAGGTTCAGTATAAGGGCATGGGTTACTTTAAAGTTTTGGGTTTTCTATGGCTATTAATGCTAAATCTTTAGGAATTCTCTTTTGAGAGTTCTATGAGGAAGGCCTTGCGTGAAGGAAAAAAATCCTATGAGCTAAGCATGTGAGGATTTTTGTCAACCTCATTAAAAAATGATGTCATCCTCCACATGTAAGAAAAAGTAAAAAAAAAAAAAATCATCTCATTTGTAGAAGAGTGGATTTTACTTTGGTGGTTAAGCTTAATATCTTTCAAACTTTGGGAGTTTCTTGCCCATTTGGTTGGTTACTCTTGTTATTTCATGCTAATAATAAGTTTCTTCCATATTAAAAAATGAAAAATAATTTAGCTGTTAGCTTCCACTTTTCATTTCCCAAACTGTCTGCTTTGACCTATACATATTGAGATAATTCAAATTCTTCCAATTTAAGCATGTTTTGAGCTTTGACTAAGATCTTTCAAGCACTGCAGATACTGGCGGAACCCAGTTATGCCCAGGGGGCAATTACCTCCTAAAAGATAAAGTACATGTAATGGGAGGGCAATTTTGGAAATTTGCCCCCCTTAAACATTTTTTATTTGCTCTAACTCGCACTTTCGTGGCCACTCGCCCGCTTATGCAAAACCCTAGCTGCTCGAGTTTCTCGCACGCCGCTGCTGAAGCTCCGTGCCTCCAGCTACTCTGTAAAATAACATCGTCAGACGTTGCCGGTTGCAAGCAGGATGATGTTGTTCTAGCCTCAGAGAACTCATAAATTTTTCTCATTTTGCTATCCATTCTTGAAAGCTTTTCTCATTTAGTTTGTAGGATCTTTCGGCCTTTTTTGATTTGATCATCTATTGGTAATAACTCTCTTTCTATTTCTGAGATCTTCTTGTGATAGAATCTCATCTGCCATTGCTTCTACTTAATTTATTTCCTTCTTAGTGAGAATCTATGTTAGTCTTTGCCTTTTGGTCCTTATATATTCACTTTTTTTCGGTGGTTTTGTCAGAGTGTTCCAGAAAAAATGAGGCTTGAATAATGCTTTGTTTTGCTTTCACTGTCGCTTGATATTAGAAAACATGCTTTCAAAATAATGAAACTCGTTAAATCCATTATTTGATTTATTGTAGTTAGAAAACAACATTTACTATATGCTTGACAACATCCATTCACAACTAGAACAAATGTAATGCTTTCTATTTCATAGGCAAAATGAGTGAAAATAAAATCATTAATTTGATTTTTAAACATGTCATCTATCCACAAACAACCAAATGAGTCTTTAAATGCAACATCACTCTATGCTTGACAACATTCTTTCATGGATATGTTATTGCATCTTTCATGCATATTAAATACTAGTACAGAAGTATTGCAATAACCAAATCAGAAGATATGTAGCCTTATACATATTTTTATTTTTTTATGAGTTTGCTCTTCTAAGAGCTAAGGCTGATTCCGGCCCTTACTTCATAAGATTCTATTGGAGATTCGGATGTTTTGAACCCCAAAGCATGGGCTGAGCATTCTAGCTCTCCTTTTGAAAGTTTTTATTCGCCTGCAGAAGTCTAACTGGCCTGTATTTCTGAAGTAGTTAATTTTATGTTTTTCTTCTTAGGTTGGCCTGTACTATGAGGAGGCTCACAAAGCACTAGCTGCTCCTCCACTAAGTACACATTTTGAACGGACATGGATCTCTCATGTGCAATTGAAGGCAGCACAGTATCATGCAGAGGCTTGTTATAGATATGCATTGGAGTTGCATGACAAAGAAAACATTCCAGAGGAGATTGCAAGGCTTAAGGTTGGTTTGAGTGCTCTTGCTGATGCCAAAAAATCTTGCAAGGGTGTTGTTGCAGCTCTTCTGGATACTGTCTCCAAATTAGAAAGCAAGATGAATGTTAGCCTTGAAAGGGCTGTGAAAGAGAATGATAGGGTTTATCTCATGCGGGTACCTGCTTCCAATTCCTTATCTACTCTACCTGCAGCCTCTCTTGTCAAATCCACACATATTGGTGAAGTTCTTGATGCCAGCAAGGATAGATTGTTTGCGAGTCTGGTCCCCGACTCTAGCGCAAAGGCACTATCTAGGTACACCGAGATGGTAGATGATGTCATTCGCACACAAGCGGAGAAGTTACAGCAAGGAAGTGAGATCACGAGGATTAAACTCAAGGAAATGGGCTTACCGGATTATATACTAGCACTTGAAGGGAGCTTGACCTTGCCTCTTGATCTTAAAGAAGATGTTGAGGCTGTGCAGGTCAGTGGTGGACCATCTGGTTTGGAAGATGTGTTGCAGCAGTTGAGGGATTTGCGAAGGGTTAATCAAGAACTTATTGTACAAACTGAAGGACTGTTGCAGAAGGAGGCAGCAGACGATGCTCAGTTCCGATTTCAGTTTGGATCACGCTGGACAAGGCCTCAGTCGAGCACCCTGACAAAGAACTTGCAAGATAGATTGAACAAGTTTGCTGGAAACCTTAAACAAGCTGCAGATACTGATGCAAGAATTGAGCATGCTTTAAGAGCACATTCAGCACTTATGACTGTTTTAAACCACTATCCAGTATGCCTATCATCTACATTTTCTTTTTCTGCTGTTATCTTGTCACTTCGAAGTATGGCACAATCGATATTTTTTATATTATGCACTTATAGTTAGGTACCTGAACTCTATTATTATGACAAATTCAATTCAATGGAAGTCTCATTAATTTATCAAATTTCTAAATGTGTCCAAGGATAGAATGTTTAGTCCTAGAATCAGATTTTCCGCTTTATGATACGATCCGTATTGAGTAGAGGGCGAGTCTATTTTAGCTATTGAGTCTAAGATGGCTACCCCTCGCAAAGACAATCTTTAGCGTAAGTGAGACATATCAAAGACGACAATTGAAATTCGACAATATATGCATGAAAGATAGTTACATTCGACAAAAAAAAAACTTCTTGTTATTTTTCCTTGGTACGATGATCATTTGGAGATTCATTACACTAAGCAAAATGATTTAACCATTTCGAGACTCATCATATTCAATACATAAAACATTTAACAAAAGGCAATAAGATGAATTTCTTTGAATGATATTTTATTCTTAATATCAAAATTCGACATCAAAGAAAATGAAAAATGCATTCAAAAAGAATGTTTTTCCATCTTATTTATAAAAAAGATATTACAATTACAGAATATTTGACAAAAAATAAAGAAACAGGTCAAGTATCTCACCTAGATGAACGACTGCTATCTTCTGGAGACGAGTTCCTGTCATCTTCGCTAAAGGGTTTCTTGGCCTTTAAAATTTCTGTCAGCATTTTCATAAAATAAGCTCAGATTGTGTCATGCACAATTTATCACAGAGACTGACCAAAAATCCAATAGAAAGTTTTGTCTTCTTGAACTTCACTGATGACTTTGTTTTTGTATTTGGTAAGGCTTAGGAATTTGGCAAGGTGCAGGAGCTTGGGAAGTTTGGGGTTTATTCAACTTCGTGTATTTTAATGAGTCATCCAATTCAGTATTTTATAGTTGCGCTGAACACAATGGTTGGGCGATCTCTTTTTTGGCTAACTTTGATTTAGAGAGAAGATTCTAAGGCAGCAATTTTAGTTGGTAACTTGGTCAATTTTTTATTCTTAGAATATTGAATAGCTTCAATCTTTCTGCTAATCTCTTTCTCATAAATATTGATGTCCTTGACGACTTTCTTTTTAAAAATTTTCAATAAAATTCTGGTCTGGATTTGTGTCAACAATTATTTTCCCTTCTCTATCCCCTCTAATCGATGACTTCCCATCTTCATTTCTATAACTCACCCTAAACTCCTTATAAGGATGAGAAGTTGCCATTATTTTCCTTTATCTATTATTGACATGTCAATAGCACCAACAACTCTAGTTAAAGTTGCAAAAATTGCCACTATTGAAGTCACAACTGCAATTGAAGTCATAACTGTCACAACAATTAAAGCCATAGCTTCCATTCAATTCGCAGCTATGTCCGGGACATTTTTGTGAGAAATTGGCTCGTAAATATTATATATTACTCATCATCACTTTTAATAGGACATTGTTTCTTTGCTGACGAAGAATCACAGGTATTCTGATTCTCAAACTCACCTTCTAACAATCCCTTCAAGTCAACCTTAATTTGGTCACTTAATTTCTCAAATTTGATTTAAAATAGTCTATTGACTCCTAAAATTTGATCTAAAATATAATCCAACTCATGAACTATTTTGGATCATATTTCATGAATCAATTGAACACATTAGATAGCTAGGATTAAAATGACCTTACATAATTAGTTTGGGCCTTGGGGATCATTTTGACCTATTTCTCATTAATATAATGCAAGTTGAAAGTTTTTCTTGTTATTCATCATTTCTCCCATTATTCTTGTATAGAGTATAAACAGTTATTATGCCTTGGAAACTTTGCTCATCTTTTTTATGTTGGTTTACAATTATCTAGAATAGATAAGGGCAAGACTGGATCACTTTTTTTTTGTTTTTGAAAAACTTGTTTGTTTAGGAGCAATTTGGGATTACTTTCTATTTTTATTTTTGTTTTTGAAAATGAAGCAAGTTGTTTTTGAAAATACTCAAATGAAATTTTAGCTGTTTTTAAGATATTTAAAAAAAATGAAAATCACCTTGATCCCTGCCCACCGCCAGTGACCATCTATCATAGCATGCCATCACAGCCTTATGTAAATATGCAATAAAAACAAAAAATAACACTTATTTATGCCACCAAACATGTTTTATTTCATATTTCAAACACATTATATATATATATATATATATATATAACAAAATATAAAGAGAACCCAAATAACCCCTAAACTATTTGAGCTTTCATTGATGCTAACCTTGTCAATATGCATGTACTGGTTGGTTTTTCTTTCAGCATTGCATGATCTGAAAACAGCTTCTTAATCATCCGCTGAACTACAGGTAGAATCTGTCCTTCCAAGCATTGCAAGACCAATAATGTCTTTGGATGGAAATGAAGATGCAATTGTGGGAGCCCTCAAGCAAAGCTTGGTAACTAGTTTAATGTTAAAATGGGTCATGTTACTGGTTTTTTCATGTTAGCTTCTCTGTTTTGGGATGGTACGAGTTAGCTCTAATGTTTTGATTGTATCTACATTTCCTTTATACATTATATGACAGTGCATGCCTCATAATGTGCATGAATCATCTGAATCATGACAATTCTATTGAAAAGTATGACGCTTAGTTTTTTTTATTGTACTTAAGGATTTCCCTAGGCAAGATTATTTCGGGCTTCTGTAAGAATGCATTTTATTGAAAAATATTGGTGCTGGATAGCTGATCTAATATTTGCATTCTCAAAGTTCCAAAGGCAAGACATCGGATAAGCTATAATTGCTAAGTAATTAACCCCTTCTTCATTCCAGAGAGGGTGTTTCACATGTGCTGTGATATAATAAGTCTCCATCTGAATTTTAGCCTCTACACGTTGGTCAAGAAGTCTACAAATTTTCCACCACAAACTCTAACATAGTTTTGTGGTGCGTATTTATGCATGCAAAACCTAGTCTTATTGCACATAATCATACACAGTCAAGACCGAGCTGGACCCAATTTTGAATGTTCCTACTTATGAATTGGATCTCACTTGGTGCGCCCCACTTCCTACACAACTTGTAGTTGCCTCCTCTCTTCTTAAGTGGGAAGAGTCCTTAATATCCTTAAATGCAAGTGGACCCTTCGATATATACAAGAAACCATTTAAAGAGTAGTGGAAATATTTAGGTGAAGATGACTTGGTGTACCAGAATGATGCCTTGATGAACAAGCACCACCCATGCACACTTATAGGCTTCAAGAGTGAGCTTCATTCTTATCCGGCTTAGTTATATTAGCCATTGTTTAGGAGCATATACTACTACAAGGCTTATGAACAATGCCACTTATACCTACCTTTCTTAATGCGAAAGGTGAGGCTCTCTTCCCCATAGTATTTTGTGGACCACATGTACTTGTTTTTGTTTGCATGGTTTGTAGTCCCAAATTTTCATAGGTGTTCACATATCACCCGTACTTGTCATATTGGCATCAAGGATGTGCAGGTGGGCGGGTGGGTGGTAGGGGGGTTAGTTACTTAGTTGTTGGAATACCCTCTTTGCTAACATTCATCTGACCAAGTGGTTACCAAACTTCTTGATGTGGGCTTCCTCAAGGATTTCTCGAGCTTCTGCAAGTCAAACACATTGAAGAGAAATTTCAAAGAAAGACTTGTGAAAGAGGATACCATCAAACAATAAATGTTCAGTGGTCTTGTACTTTACTATCCAAACTTCGTCTAACTTAACTAGCAGTACTTCAGCCGCTAAGAAATTGAATGGGAGTATACAAGTGCGGGGATGTTTTGACTTGCTTGGCTTCATAGACATCAGTGACATGTTGGTTGGTGAACTTGGTCAGAAAATTTGCTAATTCTTTTACATCCTAGGGATGTGTTGAGCTTCAAAGTGCTCCATCTTGGAGGTTTATCACAAAACTTTCTCCAATTTTCATCCAAGGATAGGGTGACATTCTTCATAGTTATAGAGAATTTGATTGACGATGAGCTAAGAATCCAATTGAAGGGTTAGTCTTTTGATGTTGATGTTGATGGTAAGGTACACATCTCCAACTATGGACTAACATTCGACCTTATTGTTGGTGATTCTAGATGATCCAAATTGTGTGGTTCAAAACTGTGCCGTAGGGTGCTCTTATGATAGCGCTGACTCCATTGCTGCACTTCTCAGAGGTGTTTTCAGTATGAAGAGACCATCAGGTCTCCTTAAAACCAAATTATGATTGGGCTAGCTTTTATGGGTTAGATAATTCCACAATGAAATCCACTGAGATATGGGCATTGATGTGTTAGGGGAAAAATACTCGATGTTGGATTCCCTTTACTAAATGAACAATTTGGCCAGCCGATTAAATATCTTAGGGTTATGTGAGACAGTGAGACTTTTTAGAGGGGCTTGTTTTTCATGACCTCAATGGGATGAGAGTGTAAGTATGATTGGAGCTTCCGAGCGGTGGTCCATGCTAGGATTAATTTGATAGGCTTGAGTTTCTCTGCTTGACGTTGGGGGAGTTGATGACATAATAGAAAAACAACTGTCTTCTACCTTCCTTTTGAACCAATATTTGAGCTGACCGTCAAATCATGGATTCTTAGGTAGATCAATAAAGATTTCTACAGCCTTAGGTTGTTGAGGCCCAAAGAAGTTTGATTTTGCTATAGTTGTTGGAAATGCTTCTTTGCATTCATGAGTTTAATCAGACTCTTTTACCTTATGTAATGCCTTCAAGAGAGTGATGTTCTTCGCTCACTCGTCCGGAAGATGGATCTATCGAGTTTGGCTAGTTTTTGGATTTGTTGTCAGAGTTGGTGGAGATGCATGAGGATGATAGGAATTTTCCTAACTGGCATCGAACATAGACATCATAAGTTGAAGTGCATGTTGAACCTTCTTAAGGTCAAGAGCATCTTAGAGAGGTTAAGAAGGTGTTTGGAGGGTACCTTTTTCTTGATTAGGTGATTGTTGATGTAGAATTTGAGGTTGTGACCTTGTTGATACCTAAAATTGTTGTGTGTGAGTCTTTTATATGTTACATCAATAATTTTTAGGCTAATGACATCATTGTGTGGCAAAACGTGCCTTCATCTATGATGAAGCTGATTTTATTCTCATTTAAAGGGTCCATCTTGATCTTGTAGTAGCCTGGACGGCATCGAGAAAGCGCATCATTAGTTACCCCACCATTGAGTCAACCATGACATTAATGCTCGATAGAAGATAGGAGTTTTTTAGGCACGCCTCATTTATTTGCTTGAAGTCACATTCTCTATTTGCCAGTTGACTTCTTGATCATGATGATGCAGGAAATCCAGTCAGGATTGGGCTTGCTAAAAGTGTCCATCATTAAATTGTTCATCACTAAGGAGCTATTTGGTTGATTAAAAAAGAAATACAGTGTAAATCAAATACTTTGGAGTTGTTTGGATGAGTGTAAAGTATATTCAGGTGATTTTTTTTTTTTTTGGTTTGAAGTAAAATGAATGTAGTGTAAAGTTTAATAATGACGGCTGACGGCGTGTGGCGGCCACTAGCTGGTGGTGGTCGACCATTGTGGGCGGTGGCTGGAGGCGGGTGGCGGCTGTTGGAGGGTGGAGGCTGTTGCCGCCGATGGGCAGTGGTGGGCCGTGGGCGGCAACGGTCAAGCGAGCTTACTTGCGGTGTAAATTGTTCTCGCTCAAAACTGTGTGAGTTTGGTTTACCTAAAAAATGAACTAGAATGATTTACACTACATTTACTTTATTTTGAATTTCTTTTTCATCTAACTAAACTCCAAACTTTTCAAAACCCTCGCATTGACTTTACTTTACGTCCATGTTACTTCCACCCAAACAACCCCTATGTGCCAATATGATTCATGTGGTGTACTTTGCATATTTTTTGCTTGATTGAACAAAAAGAATAAGAAAACTTCCAAGAGAAAAAAAAAGGAATCATCTAAATCCCTCGTATAACTAATTTCAGAAGTAGAAGAAAAGAGCACACTTATGCAATTGTAGCTCTCAATCTGGTCCCAAAAGTGAGGTAAATATTCAATTTAAAGAACTTTCACAAGTTCATGCTGAATTGGTAGTTGAATTTGTACATTCAGTTGGTGGCATGTGATAGAGATCGGCGCTAGGCATTTTTGAAGTCTTGCAATCAAAGACATCAAGGTTATTTTGGAAAAGATTGACATGCTAAGTACAAAAATTATCTTCACATAGAGAGTTGATAAAAAAAGTCTGCCTTTACCCATCTCCCTTAGAAATAGGAACTTTGATAGTCTTCTCAACATGGCGTAGTACATATAAGTCTTAAATGATTAGTGGCTTCCATTTTGATAAAATGATAAAAAATTATCAAAAAATATGCATAATCTAATTTATGGAGTGTCAAACAATATGATGAATATGTCTCTCAAAATGGAGATCAAACAACTTTATAATGTGTAATCATGCATGACACCTCATAATGTCTCTCAACAAAGGAAGAAAATAATGGAAAGGGAAGAGTTAAAGCTTTATCAATATTGATGTACTTTGATGCCTTTTGCATTAAATCGATCATGGTCTTTGATTGATTCTTTGCTATGGTGTATTTGAAGGGCTACTCTCTCATGCTCAGAGTGAGTTAGATTAGTAATCTAGTGGTTAGAGTAGATTGTGATGTAGAATTAAATGATTAAGTAAATATGTAAAGCTGAAAGTACATGCCTTCTGAATTAGAGTAGTAACAATTATGTTTACTTTCAGTGATTTAAACAAAGGTTAGAATATTAAAAAGATGATTAAAGCTTAGTACAAACTACATGTAAGAGTTTAGAAACACGAATAATCAATTCTAATCAATATTAGCAAGCATGAGGAAGTTTCAAAATAAATTCCTAAATTAACAATAAGATTAGGCACTATTAGAGTCTACTCACTCACACTCTTGATGTAGGCTAAACGGAGATAGTTTGCACAACTCTTTATGACTCCACAAATTAATGGGAAGACTTAGAAAAACAAAGATTGGGAGGAGACGTTCACCTTGATGAAGATTTAGAAACGATTTGCCACTGAATGGAAGAAAGTTGTTCGTCGATAGCGGTGGCGAGGGTGAATACGATCCTCTCAATGTATTCTTCTATGGTTTGATCAATTTCCAAGTTGAGGTCGATGAATGGTGATTTGATGATATCGACTTGACCTTGATCATTGTAAACAAACCCGTGGTCTTGTTCATGATTCGCCATACATGAGGGAACAATAAACTTTAATGTAATAGAGCGTCTGGACAGCGTATGGTGTCGTTCCGGAGGGCTGGACAGCAAAAATCCTCGCTGAAAAGTTCAGGACGGCAGGCCTAGCGGTGGCCATAAATCTGGACAGCAATTGTGGGAGTGCCGGGAGCGCTTGGACAGCAAGAAGATCTTGCTGAAATTTTTGGACAGCAGGAGGAAATCTTCAAGC